GTCTACTGTCACTTCTGATAATCTACTGTCTGATGTTCAGAATGGGCTGATAATCGATTATCACACTCTGATAATCGATTATCAAACTTCAGAGAGGGCTGACAGTCGATTATCACATTCTGATAATCGACTGTTGCTCAGCTTTGTTACAAAAATCTGCAGAACGATGAATAATCGATTTTCAAGTTGATAATCGATTATCCATCGTCTTTTACCTCGAGCCAACTTGCGTAAATGTCACTTTTACTCACCAAACTTCAATTAAAGTATATAAAAGTGTTCTCCAAGGTTCATAGATCATTTTGGCATCATTAATTCATAGTTTTAGCATCAAAATCATGGTTTACGATTCTTAGTTCTTCAAACATGTCAAACACAAAACTCAACCAAATGAACATTTATGAACGTAAAATCGATCTATATGAACATTCTAGTCACTAGATATATCTACGAGCTTACCTTGAAGCTTAACGAAGGTTTTGGATATTTTCCGGCGAAACTTCCGACGAGGTTTGTGGCTAGCTCCGGCGACTTCACACCAAATTGACAGCACCACAACACTTCTCACACTTTAATGAACACTTAGGAAGAAGAATGATGAAGAATGGTGAAGAAATGAGGAAGAGAGGTCTTCCTTATATATTGGTGAAGAAGAAGAAGAAGGTAATGGAGTTAAGTCAGTGGTGACTCACGATCGACGAAATGGGAAGGTCGGCTGATTGCTACGAATCTTCCCTGATTGGGACTAATTTGGTCCCAGTCGGGGTATACTTTTTGGTCCAACTTTCTCCGAATTAAAATCCGTTTGCACCATTGCGATCAGACTGTCAAACTCTATCCAACGATATAATTTTTATATTCATTCATTATACTTTTTCTGACACCACATTTTTGGGTGTTTGACTATAACAGAGTCAAAATTGGTTTAATTGACCTTTCTCATAAAAGGTTCTCTCATTTAATTAACATCAATTATTCTCATGATTTATTTCAACAAATCATTTCAATATTTACATTCTAAACAAATTCTTTATTTACTCTTGATTCAGGTCTGTACTCAGGTTTCCCATCAAGACTACACAAATAGTCCACATAATGGATTTATCTCTATAAAACTTATCCAGATTTTGATGTTAGATGTCAAAACAAATTTCATATCGGCCCAAAGCCCAACAATAATTTATTTTAATCAAAAAATTGTGATTAATTGATTATTTATTCAGTAATAATTCTAGGGTATGTTGTGGGGCGTTATAGCACCACCACGTTCTCCTCACTCCCAGCAACAGAATAGAATGAAACTTTGTAAGAAATGGTGAAGAATTGAGGGTGTTGTGGTAGTCTTTTATAGGAGAAGGAAGAGGAAGAAGACACGGTGATCTTCTATTTTGGCATCTCAGTGGAGCGGACGGCCTATCTCTACAATTCCAAACGCAAGTCCCTTATTGGGACGAATTTGGTCCCAGTCGGAGAACACTTTTTGGTCTAACTTTCTCCGAATTGAAATCTGTTTGCACCGTTGTGATCGTACATTTAAACTCTATCCAACGATATAATTTTTATATTTATTTGTAATACTTTTTCCGACATCATATTTTTGTATGTTTGACTTTGACAGAGTCAAAATTGGTTTAATTGACCTTTCTCATAAAAGGTTTTCTCATTTAATTCATATCAATTATTCTCATGATTTATTTCAATAACTCATTACAAAGTTCACATCATAATTAATTAATTTATTTATTCTTGATTTGGGTCTGTACTCAGGTTCTCAATCAAGACCACACAAATAGTCCACATATTGGATTTATCTCGATTAGACTTATCCAGATTTTGATATTGGATATTAAAAAATATTTCATATCGGCCCAAAGCCCAATAACAATCAAAATAAATTTGTCGTTAAGATACCACACCTAAACCCACCATCATAACAAAGGGTCCATGCCGCCCGAGGACAACAACAACAACCCAGGTAAATCCCACACAAGTAGGGTCTGGGGAGGGTGTGTGTACGCAGACCTTGCCCCTACTCGAAAGTAGAGAGGCTGTTTCCAAAGAGACCCCCGGCTCAACGTCGAAAGTTGCATTGCTTGACTAACTGCTACTTCATTAATTAAAGAAGCGCAGATAGTTTAGAGATCCATTTTGATTTATTCCATCACACCCCAAAGCCAAAAATGGTGAAATTTTGGCTCTATCGGAGATGATGGAAGTATTCCATCACGCCCGGGGAATATCATTTAAATACTTATATCCCTCCTCACTCATGTTTCGTATTTCAGCCATATATCCTTCAAATTGTTGGATATTATGTGTACTACCAGCGGCCCAAACCAAATTTTTAACATCACTGTTCCGGAACTTTGTCATGAAGTTGCTCCGAACGTGGCGAAGACAAAAACGTTTCATTATCAATCTAGTCTGTAGTTCTAGAAGGTCACGATAGGAGTTAATGATTCCAATATGTCTATCAGAAATAATACAGACTTGTTGTGAGCCGATAACCCTCTGAACAAGAAGGCGAAAAAACCAAGCCCAACTCTCACATGTTTCTCCGTCAACAATCACATAAGCCAGGGAAAAGATTTCACGATTACCATTCATGGCAACCGCAAAAAGGAGACGACCCTTATACTTTCCGTACAAATGAGTTCCGTCCACCGTCACTACAGGCATGCAGTATTGTAATCTATGTATTGCCGCGGCGAAAGCCCAAAATGCATACTTAAAGCGCGGGGTCTCTTCAGGCGTGGCATTAAGGTTTGGCGGTTCAGTTGCATAGACAACATCGACTACAGTTCCTGGATAAGAATTTTGTAAATTGTACAACATAATAAGAAGTTGAGAATACGAATTCTCCCAACTACCGTACAACAACTCTGTAGCACGGATCCGAGCTAACCAACATTTTTTATACGATACAGGAACATGAAATTCCTGTAAAACATCATGTTGGATTAACTTCACTTTGTACTTCAGATCCACACGTACTTTTCCGACAATGAACCGGGCAATGGAGAAATAATCGATGTTTAAATCATCGCCACCGTGAGAATAATCTGGGTTACAAGTGTGCACGTCTCGCAATTGTTTTATTTTCCAGACTCCAGATTTTAGTCCTTGTGCTTGAACACGCTAAAAACAGGGTGGGCTTTTGTTGTAATACCAACACCGAGATGCCCATGATCCCGCTTTTTTGTATTCGTTTCGATAAAAACGATTGTTCGCCACACATTGTTTTGTAACCGCATCTTTAAGTGATTCATAATTGGGAAAGGTCATACCTACTGCAAGAGGGCCATTAGACTAAGTATGTTTAATTTTCTCTAGGATACATATTTCTATATGATCTGTCATATATGTCTTCATTAGCAGTAAGTGTTAAATAATAACTGATTATACAAATGACTCACCGAATGTGGTTATTAGAAACAAGTGTTGGGACAAGTATTGGATAATGACTGATGTTTTCAATGACTATTCAGATTATTTTTAATAATATCTTATTCTACTTGAATTGTGTAATAGGTCATTCTTTTATAATGACTTTGCATTCACATTTTTCAAAGGCGAGACATTTTTGAACTTTCCATTACCAAACATTAGAGTAAATAGGACCGATCCTATTTGAGGAAAAGTGATATTTTTAATTGCTACTAGTATTCTAACTCGTACCATGCACGGGGTCAAAAGAAATTCTTGTCGATTCTGAATTATTTTAATGAAATTTATTTTTTGGAATAAAGAAAATATATTGCTCACATGATTTTTAATACTACAAATGAAGAAAGCCAAAGTAAAATAAATAATATTTGAGGAACAGAATGTAGAGTTAACAATATTTATTTTAATACCAAATTTTCTGAAAGAATTCAGGCTATATAACATTCAGGCTATATAACATTTTTGCACTTTGGTATAACATTTCCATTGTCATCTAGAACTAATATTTTTAATCATGTCTTTGTCTTCACTCATGAAACAACATAATATAGTTGACCATGTGTGAATACTAACTTGGTTAAAAATAATCCACAAATGACAATGTTTGACCTTAACTTTTGTTGATAGTCATAGCAAAACATGAGACGATCGAGAATTGTCTTCTTTGGAACTTATAGGGTAGCCCTGGATCAGATGATACCAAATTCATTATAGGGATGTAAACTTTTTCCCCGACTCGATTTTCCAAAACCATAATTGCACCGATAACATTATTTCGCAGCTCTTGAACGATTAATCTTGTCCCATTACACAATCCAGATGTTTGGTAAATGTTCCTCAATAGCATAATCAATAACCCCTTTTTCAAGACTATTTTGTGGTTTGGGATTCTCGTACATTTGATTTCATTCAAAAACTCAACTGTTATACAATCACCATCAACATCCACATCTGCTTCTGCTTCGCACGAAGAATCAAAACTCAAATACTCCTTTTCATCACCAGGAATGAGGGACAGAACAAATTCATTTATCATTTCAACTACTTCGAGAGTTGGTGCCAATAGTGCTCTATCCTCAAAAAAGAATAATTTTTCATATTCTCAAACATAATTCATTTCTCAATATAAGACTTAAACTTTTTCATATTCTCAAACATAATTCATTTCCCAATTTTCATTTTTCATTTTTCAAAGTTTTTCCCAATATAATTTTTCAAAATTTTCATTTTTCATATCTGCACTAAATAGCACTAAAACAAAAGTTATTCTCCAATATAAGATTTAAACTTTTTATCCCTTAAATAAGACTTAATAATGTCTTAAAGGAGAGAAATAATATCCTGTGACAGTGAACATTTATCTAAATAATGACTAATGGATAATGACTAAAAGTGCTACAGTGGGAAATAAAAATTATATGTTGCTATTTTGGGAAAGTCATTATGTTTTAGTGTTATTTAGGTAAATTTCTCTGACTATATATATATATATATATATATATATATATATATATATATATATATATATATATATATATATATATATATATATATATATATATATATATAGTTGAACACAACTTAGATTCCATTGTGATAAATGAATTATGTGTTAGATATAAGTAAATTTTCTGATTTAAAAATTATATTTGAACTTTGAATTATTTACATTGATCATTCCGTATCAATGCCTAAATTTTTTTTCTTGCATGCATATCATTTTATTTTAAAATATGTTTTTTATATTCACCCATTTCATATAAAATATATTTTTACTCAACTTTGTTAATATTCATCCATTCAATTGTTTAAAATATTTTATATGTATAAACTATTCTTTTCTGAAAAAATATAGAAAACTGGAATTAAAAGGTCATGGTTAGACATCATTTTATTCCTATTAATGTAAATATAAAATATATAAAAAATAATCAGTGAGCTATATGCATACCTAGATAAATCAACAATTATACATTTTAATTATCCATGATTTCTATGAAACTTATGAATGACGTTTAATTTTTTTACGGATGCATATTATAATTGATAAAACAACATGACTATAATTAAAAAAAAGTATACATATTTTTATCTTTTCTTGGAGTGTTCATTTTCACATGGAGAATTTGTTAAATTCTTCTAAAATTGACATCTAATTTTAAATTTTGTATAAAAGTTTATTTATTTAACATAAATTAATTTATCTATACTAACGATTTAGATATGAAGATAAGAAAATTTTTCAATGCTCATTAAAAAGCAACCATATAAATTTTAAATACAAAATTCTGGTCACTAAAATATCCCATTTAATTTTGTTATTTTTAAAAATTCAAAAATGTTATGTATCAAATTACAATAAAACAAAATTAAATATATTAAGATAAAATGATATTTAAAGTACATACCTTTTCTATCATTTTTTGTTGAAGTATTCCTTTTCTCCTTTCTCTTGCATCTCTAGCAGATCTTGTCCATGTATCATCAACTTGATTTTTCATAGTCCCAATTGAAATTGAAAAATAGGATGCTCCTACCAAGTACCACCAATCCTTTTAAAATAAGGCTGAAGTTGAATTGACTATTCTCCGCTTATTTATTGCATAATTAATTCTAATGCCTATGTATTGAAATGTAAAATGAAAATGAGTGGTGGATGTCACATTTCAACTCATTATATATCTCTTTTTAATACAATTTTGACCTAAGTGTATAAGAGTTTTTATAAATTTGGATCTAAAAGTGAGCAATTTAACTCATTGCCTGTTAGATATATAAGTAAGGAATTCAAAATGATATTGGGTCCATCTTAGAAATAACAAATTCCTTACTAAAAATAAACAAATCTAGAATAATATTATTGATTATCTAAGATACAAAATTCTATTTAAATTAATTAAAAATATTATATATTTTTTTATTTTTTAAATAGTATTTATATTTCTTCCTATTTAGTTTTAACTTTTTATATTATCATCGTAATTGGAGTTCGTCTTGTTGTAATATGAATACATATATTTACATATAATATTATTGATTATTCAAGATACATAATTAAGGATTGTCATATATAAGTAAAGAAATCGAAAATAATATTAGTATTATCCAAGATACATAATATAGATAAGGTGATGAATAATATACTCGAGATCATAATTTAAAAATCATAATAAATAGGACTAAAACATTGAGAAAAGTATCAAAATAGGACCTTCATATTTTTTTTCCTGAAATAGGACTTTGCATTGTGATAATGTGATTTTGCATTGTGGTAATGTGGTAGTTTACATGTACAAATTACTATACTTTCTTGGTATTGTATATGACCATGTTTGGTAATGTAAGTCCTATTTCAAGAATAAAAACATAGAAGTCCTATTTTGATATATCTTCAATGTTTTAGTACTACTTTGGTCTTTTCTCCCACCATAACATAATTTACAAATTTAGTATTATTTAGGATTGTTTTTTAATAAGATTATCCGTAAATTTTGTTAATGACCATATATAAGTAAGGTGATCAATAATATATACTCATGAAAGTAAGACAAATAAGTAAGGAATCAAAAATAGTATTGGAATTTCTATTAGTATAGGTACTCTATTGATTTCAACCTAAATGATAATTTTGGATTTAAAATACATGTGATTATTTTTACATGATAATTTTTTAAAATTTTATGTAAA